CTAAATTAAAAGTTTGTAATATACTTTAATTAAAAATTCTCATTAGTATTGTAAGAAAACACTTATTTTACCTGGTCAAAAACAGCTCTGTTTTCAGCATGCCGTTTCAGTGCATATGCCTTTAAATGATCATGAGCTGCGCTCACTCCGCCCCTCTGTTCTGTGCGTACACCGTTTGTAACACAATAACACAATAACCATAACCATAACGCGTTGTTCAGTGTAAACGTGGAATTATGAATTATATTGAGAACGTCATACATAGAAAACATGCCGTAATGTACCCTGAGTGTAAACCTTAGCCGCATTCATTGTGAAGCGTGCAGCTAGAGATTTGCAAAGATTAATATATTAATATAAAGTTTAATAAAACGTTTCACTCACTTCTGTTCTTCTGGAGGTTCAGCAGGAACACGAATATCTGGTACCGATCCTTTTTAGCAAAGCTTCTTAGCAAATCCAGCTTTATACTGACCCTCGTTTATAAAGCAGTCTGGTGTGTGAAATGATTCGCGCAAACATGAAAGCATTGACATTGCTCGTGTGGAATATTCCCTTCGAAAACAAAACTCAGCCACTGCGTCTTCAGGAACATTAAAATGACTGTGTTCGTTATTACACCCAAGAACAGAACACCACAATCGCTTAGACGCCATTCTGCTCATAGACAGTGCTCCAGCATATCAACAATGACCGCGCCGGTCCGGTCCGCGCCGCGCAGACTATGATTGACAGCTACCTCATGTGCGAGGGCGGGTCTGTGTTGAAACGCTACCGTCAATCAACAATCGTGGGAGGGGCGTCCGTTTTATTGACGAGTTATGACGTCAACCCGACTTTTATTTCCAACCAAAATCCAACGTTTGTCTGACGTTGGATGTTGACGTCAATCCGACGTCGAGTTCTCACATCAACCCCTGCAACCAAAATCATCCCCTGACTGACGCTACTACTTTCTACTCAAGGACCTTGACAAAAATATAGTGGAGTAAAAAGTACGATATTTGTTTTTTCAAATGTAGTGAAGTTAAAGTAAAAAGTTTCCAGAAAAAAAAATTCTCAAGTAAAGTACAGATACTCAAAGTGTACTTAAATGGGTCATATAATGGTACATGCACTTTTTTAAGTTGATTGTACTGAAATGTGTGTTGGCAGTGCCTGTACACAACCATCATAATGATAAAAATCCATCCAGTGGTTTTGTTTTAATCTCCTTATATGTTTTCCCCTGCCTCAAATCGAGCCGTTCGACCGTGTGACGTCACACGGTCGGACGCCCCTCCCGCGATTGTTGATTGATAGGCGCGTTTCAACACAGACCCGCCCTCGCTCGTGAGAGCTGTCAATCATAGTCTGCGCGGACCGGCGCGGTCATTGTTGATATGCTGGAGCACTGTCTATGAGCAGAATGGCGTCTAAGCGATTGTGGTGTTCTGTTCTTGGGTCTAATAACGAACACAGCAGTCATTTTAATGTTCCTAAATCCGAACCGCTGAAGACGCAGTGGTTGAGTTTGTTTTCGAAGGGAATATTCACCACGACCAACGTCAATGCTCTCATGTTTGCGCGAATCATTTCTCACCAGACTGCTTTATAAACGAGGATCAGTATAAAGCTGGTTTTGCTAAGCAGCTGCTCCTGAATAAAGAATCGGTACCAGATATTCGTGTTCCTGCTGAACCTCTAGAACAACTGAAGTGAGTGTAACGTTTTATTAAACTTTATATTAATATTTATATCTTTGCAAATCGCTTCACGATGAATGAGTCTAAGGTTTACACTCAGGGTACATTACTGCATGTTTTCTATGTACGACGTTCTCCATATAATTCATAATCCCACGTTTATAATGAACAACACGTTATGGTATTGTGTTACAAACGTGTACGCATAGAACAGAGAGGCGGAGTCAGCAAAGCTCATGATCATTTAAAGTCATATGCACTGAAACGGCGTGCTGAAAACAGAGCTGTTTTTGACCAGGTAAAATAAGTGTTTTCTTACAATACTAATGAGAATTTTTAATTAAAGTATATTACAAACTTTTAATTTAGACCCTAAAGAATCATATTAGCTTGTACAAAAATGGCATTATATGACCCCTTTAAGTACAGTACTCAAGTAAATGCACTTTGTTACTGTCCAATTAAAGGTACATGTCTGTGACCGGTGTTTACCGAGGTCGATGACTAATGAACTGAAAATAAGTTGACTGTTAGAAAGTACAGCTGAACATCAGTTCACAAATAAAATAGATTGTTTAAATTGTTACAGCATTTATTTAAATTTTTTGAATAAATGTAAAAAAAAGCTTTAGGGCCAGATTTACAAACAGCGCAAACACTCTTGATTAAAAAACTACTGTCAGGATTTACTAAAGACACGCAGTGAAAATCTTGCGCTGAAAAGGCATGGACACAATTATTTTTGTGGCAGACCTTATTGCATATGCATTTGTAGGAGTTTCCCTTTCAGGCGCAAAATTTATGGGAGGAGAGTATTATATTATTATGTACTGGTGTTTACGCCATTTATCGCCCCCAAAAAAAGCACGTCTTAAACCAGAGGCTACCTGGTAGATTGCGTTGGGCATTATGGAAATCTTTAATTTGCACGTCGTCCATAGATCACAGTAGAACTTTCCACTACCAATAAACAAAATAGTGAACTTTTAGAATAGCATCATATGAGCTCTTTACTTGCAAATAACATGCAATGTTATTGTGTCTGAAAACATTACATTCAGCTTGCCCTTACGCATATTCTTTATATTATTTCCATATTACTCTTTTTAAAAGTATGCTAAAGTGAACTACTTCTTCCCAAGGGTGGCCAGCTGTTTATCTGCAAACTTTCTCTCACAGATGAATTACTCACAATTATGAACAGAACTACTTTGGATGAACTGATACATGGAGTTGAAGATGTCACGAGTGTCCTAAATCAAACTTGTGACTCATCTGCACCCTGACTATGACAGACTACATCCCTTGAGAGTTTCACAAAGACACAATATAATTTTACACACCTCATTAGGCTACCCAAGCAAACCTCCTCAACAATAAACTGTTGCTCCACTGCCATTGCAATCTTCCATTCAGAGCAAGATTGCACACCCATCCAGAGCACACCCATTCCCTGTGCATTTCAAAACAGATGGTGAGACCAATATTGAGACAGTCATGTGAACTGACTCATCACTGAAGTAATTTATCTTAATTGAGAACGGAACCTACCCGGGGTGAAAAATGACATTAATTTACTATATGATTAAGTGAATAACCGACTAAGGTGGAATGAAGATCAAGAGCAACGAATATGAGCCGTGAATATATATTTTTTTTAAACGTACAATGTAGGCCACAGGGCCTGTTACAAAATCCTTTACAATCACTCTTTTATACGCTCCTCTAAAGTTCTGCCAACCAGATTTTTCTCAGCAAAGATCTCTGATAGAGCATCATAAAACTACATGTAGATTAAAAAGGAAACTTAATTAATTACAGTGCCTGCCAAGCTACATTCCCCTTATGCTAGAATCACTCTGGTGTTTTATAGATGTTGCAACTCAAAGCCTGTGTAAACAGTCAGTTGGACAGCCAGGAAAGTGCACAGGCGAATTGCACTGGGCGATACTGGCAGTGTAGGAGAGACTAGAACATGGCCTTCCATTTACAAAGCCTGACCCTATTTTATAAGCTGACTGGCTGTGTATGAAGGGAACGATGTGAAGTCGGTGTTGTTTTTGTATGGAATAATAATGAGAGGAGCTGTGACCGCTACTGCTGATCCTGCATGTGTTCCCAGCATTTGGGAGGTACAATAATGAATAGAACACAGGTGTGTGTCCTGTCCGTGTGTGTACGTGGCCATGTCCGCTGCCCTTTACCTTGGCAAATGGTTTGCAATTGTTTTATTGTCCGGAATAATCAGGATTCACGCCGTGATGCGCGGCAGGTCTGAAATCTATTTCTAGAGGCTAACAAATAACATGGAATAAAAGCGCACAGCTAGACTGTTTAAGAGGCCTGACCCATTTCGAGAGGACTTAACAATGCACATGCTTCCACCGTCTCGCTCTTTCTTCACCCTAACACTCCAGGTCTAATGTACCATGAGTCAAACGTTACAGTCAGTGCTCTAGGGCAGGGGAGCTCCAGCCCATTAAGTTAACACAGATCCACACGTCAAGATGAGGGCTGATAGAAAGCAGAAAATGTTTGTCGAAAGGACCAGACAACGTATACACCACGACAATGCTACAGAGATTTCTCATCAGGAACACAAGCGACTGCTTTTTTGGTGTTAAATGGTGCTGAAATTCATCTGTGTATATTTATTGATGCACTTTTTAAACAACAGCCCATTGACCAAAGTGCTGTACATTTTAAAAACCACATACAAGGAAAATCAACCGTTAAAAACATAATAAAACCAGAGATTACATAAAATAAATAACCCCCACAGATGGAATATGCAACCAGTTTTGATTACCCTGCCACATCAAATGCTAATGCGAGGAAATATTCTTTTAACTTGGTTAGTGTGGGTGCCAATCTGAGGTAAAGTAGTAAATCATTTCACAGTTTAGGAGCCGCCACTGCAAATGCACGATCTCCACTCATTCTCTGTCTGGTCCCAGGAATCGTAAAGGTCAGCTGACCTTAAAAACTGCTTCGGCTCATATTTCTTACAGTTTTTGCCCGTTGCTTGAACACTATAGACACATGCTTAAACCAAAGTAACATAACTTGAAGTTGTTGTTACTATACCTTAAACAAAGTGTAACCATACCTTAAACAAAAGCGCTGCTTTGCACTTTAGTTGCAATTCTGTAACACACTTGCTCCTTTCTGCAACACACTTGCTCCTACACTACACACTATTTCATACATAGACACTTAGTTCAAAAATTAAATCTCAGGGTACCATTGGGAAAACACATCTATTCAAAATACAACACACATTGGTTAATTTAAAAGACAGACACACACCTGAAAACACTTACTTACAAAAATGAACACCAATCAGCCAGCTACAAAAAGGCCTCAGTTAAGCCATTTTGAGAACTTTGCAAGCATGGAGGCAGGGAGAGCTAGAGGCAGAGGAAGAGGAAGAGGAAGAGGAAGAGGAGGACAGAGAGAGAGAGGACGACAGAGAGAGAGAGGAGGAGGACGTGGTCAAAGAGGCCACACAAGAACCATTATTTCGGATGACATAAGAGCAACTTTGGTGGACCAAGTCATAAACCATGGCCTGACAATGAGGGAAGCTGGGCAGAGAGTCCATCCTAATCTAAGCCGCTTCACAGTTTCATCCATATTAAGGACATTCCGACTGGAAAACAGGTATGTCTTCAACTCTCTACTCTACTCAGACTGTATCTAGAGTATTTACAGTACTGTACCATATCACGTTACTGTATCACATGTATTGTATTCCAGGGTGGCTAAAGCTCCTTTTTCAACAAAAGTGGTAGTTTTGTGAAACATACCATGATAACATGTTGAGATGTTTCAGTACTGTATATGGTAAATACAGTAAAGTTCAGTATACACAGTACTGTAAAAAAGAAGCAAACGAGAACAATTTGTGGTTGCATTTTTCTACAGAATGGCTAGAAGACCTGCTGGGGGTGGACGCCAACGCCTGTTCACCCAACAGCAGGAACTTGCCATAGTGAACCTAGTCAGAGCAAACAATGCAATCCGTCTCCACCAGCTACAGCAACAAATACTTGCAGATAGGCAAGTATTCAACAACATAAATCGAGTAAGCATTACAACTATCAGACGGATCTTGGTAAAGCACAACATGACCATGAAGCAACTGTACAGGGTCCCATTTGAGAGGAACAGTGTCAGGGTCAAAGAACTTCGACATGAATATGTACAGGTAAGTGTTTCAGTCCTTTACATTTACAATAAAGAATGGGTGCACAGTAACAGATGAATATGTACCACTGGATTAGTACCACATAGATTCATTCAGAAAGCTACACCGGTATCTGGGTGGTGGGGTGGGTCGGTTCGATTCTGTATATGTAGTAGTGTAAGTGTGTGCTTTGAGTAAAGCCATCCACAACATGTATTTTTTGTTACAGAGAATCTTGGACATGGATGGAGCTGCCCAGCCGCATGAATGCATTTACATTGACGAGGCTGGATTCAACCTTAGCAAAAACAGACGACGGGGACGTAATATAATTGGCCAAAGGGCAATTTTGCACGTCCCGGGGCAGCGCGGGGGAAATATCACATTGTGTGCTGCCATAAGTCTTCGAGGGCTACTGCACCATCATGCCAAACTGGGTCCCTATAATGCGCAACACATAATCACATTTCTAGATGCACTTCATGATGCAGTTGTACAGGATGGACCAGAGCAGCCCAGGTTTGTTGTTGTCTGGGATAATGTTAGTTTCCATCGGGCTGCTCTGGTCCAGAACTGGTTCACCAACCATGATCAATTTGAAGTTCTGTACTTGCCCCCTTACTCGCCATTTTTAAATCCTATAGAGGAATTTTTTTCCGCTTTGAGATGGCGCGTATATGACCGCCAACCACATGCCCGTATGCCTCTTCTGCAGGCGATGGAACAGGCCTGCGGAGACATTGAGGTGAGGTCAATCCAGGGATGGATTCGGCACACAAGGGGATATTTTCCCCGATGCCCCGAAGCAAGAGAAGACATTGCTTGTGATGTTGATGAGATCCTGTGGCCAGACCCCAACAGACGGCAGGATCCATAAGCCCACTTGCGCACAATTGTGTTTTTCTGTGTTTACAGTAGTGTATTGTTTGTTTTATTTTTGATTTAACTGAATTTACTGTACTGTAAAATATACTAATGTAATGATTTTGAATTCATTATTTAATTTTTTGGTAGTTGTGAAAACATGCCCTCTATGGAACTGAATAAAAACATTGAAAACAAAAGACTGTAGTTTTTTATATAAAGTAGACTAGTGTGTTGCTGCTGATCTGAAAGTGTATTCATATGATGCAAGTGGGTATCATTTTGTCATCAGAGTGACATTTTGACAAAGGATTGTTAGGTTTTGATAGTTTAAATTTGACATAGATGTGAATGGTTTATTTCCCAGTGTTGTGTCTTATTTGCTTGTGTGTAGAGTTTTGACACAATGAGCCAAATTTAGCAAAACGTGTGTAAGCAATAGGCAAAAACTGTAATTCGCCTTTGGCTAAGCCCCGCCCCCCTTAGTTACTGTTGCTACGTCCGACAAACAAACTTCATCTGGGCTCCGGTATCAACATGGCTTATGCTGTGACAGCTCTTCCAGCTGAAATTTGATCAAACTTTTATAAAGCAGCAAATAAAGTGTCCGATAGAAGTAGGCAAAAGGGGCTGCAATATACGTTCGAAGGCTATATTCACGACATACAGGTGAAACGCAAGGAACAACAAGGCATCCAAATAGAGGCAAAAGCATACCGGTCACAGTAAAAAAAAAATGAACCACCGCATATCCTACTAATCGAGACGGAGGCTGGGACTAACAATATCAAGGAGCAACACTGTTCATGCAAAGCTGGGTAGGTCTCTATTCACTTCTATAATCGTTATTACAAAGCAAACGGACTACGCGAGTATAACAATGTATTTATTAGCAGCGTGTGCTAGACGACACTTGTCAGGATTTGACTTCGGTTTGGGAAGGGAAAAAAACAGACACCCCCCTCCAACCTCTCTGGGGAACGCGTATCTGTGTTACAAATGCCCCAGGCACAACGTTTAACCATATTTTTGATAAAACTACGACGGTAATAGCCGGCCGAGACCAAAAAATATGAGACACCCGTGTTAAAGTCAATGGAGCGCTGTGAAAAAGTGTCGGACCATTGTGGGAGCTCGTTCTTGGCTGCGCTGTGATTGGTCAATCTACATTCTAGGGTGTGGCTTAGCCAGAGGCGAATTCCACCAAATACGGGGAAGCTAAGTTAGTGATTTACAGACAAAAAAAAATCTCAATTTTAAAGGCCCACTGAAGTGCCATGAAACATGCAGCATTATTCAATGTGTTGATAGCCTGGTTAAAACCAGACCATTCTCAGTTGTAACTGAGTTATGGTCTGGCAAAGCGTCATAGACAAATCATTTCAGGGGCGTCACCAACGGACGTCGCGGATAGACCTAAACCCAATCAGAGCGATGAAGGAGATGACGTATGCAGAGCGGCGGAGAAACATCTCCGAGTGTTGATCTTTGCTTGGTTTTTAACTAAAAGGAAATGTTCAAATCGCTTAAAACAGACGCGATAGCTGATTCGAACGAGTGATGTTCGACGGCGGCATCCATCTTTGTAATGTAGGCTAAAATCTGCTTCCAAATCCCAGCGCTGTCGTCATCGTGTAAAGCCCGCCCCAATGTTTCTGATTGGTGCCGTGATTTCGGCGGATTGTAAACGAGCTTGAATGAGCTCTTTGCCAGACTAACTTTCAGAGCAAATCTAAATTTGACGGACGTTGTCTGGGTTTTCCCAGGCTAATGTGTTGACGTAATTTCCGCTGAATCAGGAAGACAGGGCGGGACATATCGATCAGCACCTCCCCTTTTTTACAATAGCCAATAGCATTTAGTTTATATCACAGCTCGGCCAGAGGCGTTGAGCTAAAGCCACAGATTCCTCCTAATCTTTAACCACTTCTCCTCCATATCGCTTTAAAATATAGCATTCTGTGCAGAATTCAAATGGGTCCGATACATTTTATCTCGACACGATCATATGATCGCTCTGTCCTATCGTGTCGCTGCATTGGTTCGTATAACACTAATGTGAAACCAGACTTCATTCGCCTCAATGGAAAGCATACACTGTCTGAATCGTTGTAGAAAATAGTAATCGTGTGAACAAATGACAGATTTCAGCCGCAGCTTCAGCATCTATTTATAATGTAGGGGGAGGGACGTTTTAGATTAATCTCTATAGAGAGTATTTGATTGGACAGAAAATATGATGAGAAGTTGATTTCATCAAAATCATTGATTCATATTAACAAAAGTGAGAAACTAAGTTAGAATGCCTATATCTTCTAAATGCGAATTTTGTCATTGTTTTGGAACACACTATAGCTTATAGATAACAAAAAGGCTAATATATTCATACTAAAAGCCAAAAAAAAAAATCAATTTTGATTTCATGGGGACTTTAAAATCGATTCTAGAACAAATCAGCAGCCAATGTAAGGAAGCCAAGACTAAAGTAATACGGTCTCTCTCATATGAGTACCTGTTAAGAGCCTCGCAGGAGCATTTTGTACCAAATGTAAGCAGTTTAGTAATGATTTGTTAACACCCAAGTATAGTGAGTTACAGTAGTCTAACCTTGTAAAAACAAAAGCATGAATGACTTTCTAAATCACACGTGGACAAAAATGTAAGATAGCTGTTAAAGAACATCCACAGATTCCACGCTACTGGCTTGCAAAAGGGGCTAAGCTGCCCGGATTAGAAAAAAAATTGCTTTCTCCTGGTGCTTCAAAGTTTTATCTTCATTTAATGATTTTATGTTTTTATTTTTTATTTAAAAATACCCACAAAAAAACAATCGCACATGGGCAGAAAAGCAAAATTACACACTCGTCTCTTGTCTGACAAAGGGAACTGTCATTTGGCAAAAGGGTCAGACTATTTTCCTACCAATTTCCAAGTCTAAAAGTGAAATCACTCTTCAGCAGTGTCGAGGCGTGCATTTGAGATGTACCGCGGCCCTTTCCTGGAGAGCAGCATTCCAAGTCACTTGAATATTATTTGAAAGCCAAGTGCCATATTTGAACAGTGACACTTCAAAAAGCTTCTCCGTTTTATTGTAAGACACCAGATCTTTTGGGAGAGCCTTTGATATTCTCATTGAAGCTGTATAGACACCTCTCTCGGCTCCAGATGACGAATTCTAAGGAACTTGGAGACACAGATATGCGAGTTCCTTTCATCCAATCATCTCAAGTCATGAAGGGTAAAGCTTAATTTTAAGGGTTAAATATAGAAATCAAGCACATGTTAATGCGCTTTTGTAGATTTATATTTTTTTTGTTTAAGTTCATCCAGTTCCTCCAACATGATACAACCTCTTATCTCTGGGAATCAAATGCAAAAAAAAAAACAGGTTCAGTTCCCATGGGAATGATCAAATGCACACATTAATGCAATGGCGTTTTAGTGTGTTGTTAAGCAAGCACAATCATGACTTGCACATTCTGACAAGCATATAACATTTACCTGTGTATTTGTCTCTTTTTGCACAGATGCTAGCTGTAATATTACGTTTATGTCGTGTGTATCTGATAATCTAATCTCATATAAGATGTTAACCTGCTAGCAAAGCATTTCAGGTCACTGGTTTTCATGGCGTTTACGGTTTATTGCCAGATTTTAAGTGTATGCTGATTAAGCAGTCCAGATAAGAGGACACACAGTAGCCTAAAGTCAATTACCTTAAATAGTCAATCATGGGTTGGCACAAACTGAAGCAGCAGACCCACTGAGGCTCTTTGTGTATCGAGTTTGACTTGTTTGAGGTATTGCTTGGGAAAGCAGAAGCGGTGTACTTTAAAGGAACACCAAACAGAACAGCAAATGCATGATGGGAAAACAGACCTGTTCGCACACAAAAGAAGTCTATTAAAGACAGACGCCATTTCACAAGAAGAGATCTGCAGTGCTGGAAAATCTCGATGCTGAAAATAACAACCTTCGTTTTGTGAACACACATCAAACATTAATACACCTTCTGACGTCTGTACGAAAATAACACAAATACACTATACACACCAGCATTCACAAATCAAACAATATGGAAATATAGAAAAATAAAGTATTTTAAAGATGCACCTTTAATTTGACACTTTCATCTCTGCACACAATTTTCATTAAATGATATTTTAACTTCTTTTTTTTAGTAGTTTTTTTGTGTGTTATTTTTCTGTATAAATGTATTTTTTTAACTGGAAAATACTTAGAGGTACACTATGTAACTTTTTAAAACTTAAAAAAAAAAACTCATGCATTTTGCGTTAGAACATTGTTTTGGTAGTGCTTTGGCTCTGCGTGACTGTACGGATGAATATGGTTATCCTTGAAGATAGAACTACAGCTGAAGACGTTACTATAGACACGGTACTTCCTACAATAAATTCTAGCACAGCTTTACAACAACCATAATGAAATCCCCCTTTACAATAGATCATGCTTTACAGTGAACTCTGTTAAAGAGCTACATATGGCAGTTTATCTGTTCAATAAAATGCCTTGCTGACCCGGTAATAAAAGGCCATCTCTGTGTCAGTTTTACAACATTTCAAATCCCTCAGTTCTCACCATCTCTGAAAAGCCAAGCCAATGTTGATTCTTGTTTTATTACGAGCTCTGTTGCGTTTTCTTTTTGCCAGCAGACTCTCCTCTGTTTGTTTAAAACGGGTGATTCTCCTGAGGTTGGAGATTTAGCTGCTCCATGTCAACCTTTCTCATTCACTGTGACAACTAACCTCTGACCTCCCACACCAGACACACACACACACACACACACACTCTCTCAACTAACCTCCCACAACAGACACGTGTCAAAGGAGCCAGAGCAACTTACGGATAAATTTACAGATATGACAAAACACGCACTGTCAAGTGAAGTAGGCCCATGTACACAATTTCCCTTGAAAACCACTCCTGATATGTCTAAAATACTTAACAATACACTTATAATAGGCCAATCTTAGGGAATCCGGGTAATTCATT